AAGCCTTTTCGTTGCTCAGAACATAACAAGATGTGTACTGATTAGTATTAAGAAGACTATCAAGTGTTATTAGCTACTTAATACCTACACGAACATATGCAAGTAAGAGTATTTAGGCACTTTGGCAAATCCATATCCATCCAGATAATGAATGACATTCAAAGGATTAGCTGCTAAACATGGCTTTCGGCAATATATACTACATGGTTGGTGTTGCGGCAAATATTCGCGTGCTGCGAAGACATTTAATATATACGACTACCTATGTCTATGTCTATGTATGTATGTATGTGTGCGTGGCAAGTGTGTGCGTACGAGCTCTTGATTAACACTAGTGAGCCAAGTTCACGTGCTCTCAAAAGTATGCTAAGTTTTTGCATTTAATGTTGCGCGACCATGAATCGAGTCGCAGCAATGCCAAAAAACAGGACACACACTCATCTACACACACTGGGAGCTTGAGGACATTTTTGCGGCCGCGCGCACTCATACACACACCCACACAAACACACATACAAAGCGTGCATACTTCGGCATGCTTATTTGCTCGCTTATTCGCCTTTGTTCAGAAAACACACACACACACATTCACACACAAGTGGTATGCGTCCATGCCGGGCAATGTAATTAGTTGCTCGAGGTGCTTTAATTAAAATGTATATCCTTATTGTCCTTGCTCCTGCGTTGTAATTGTTCGTGTTGCAATTAATTATGTCAAATGTCAAGCAGAGGCACAGCCATAGTCACAGTCACAGTAGCAGTAGCAGGCTTAGGCTCATAGAAACAGCTAGGCTGTTAGATACACTGAAAAAACCTCCAACAAATGGGCTGATTATAAAAAAAACTTTATGAAATGTGATAATTATATAGATAGAAAAAAACGCATGTCTGTATTCCATAAGATATACAAAGTTTCAGTGAAAAGTGAAAGGGTATATGGTTTTCCACAAGGAAGAATGGTTTTTTGTCCACATGTTATAGACAGATTCATAACAAAAAGAAGCCAAATCGCAGTATTTGCTATTGTGTTAATGCTTTGCCGGACGCAGAAAACAGAAGTAGAATGGATACAGTAGTAGCTTTTGTGTGAAAACTTGTTAATTTCAAAAGATATGGAACCAAATTGCATATGAGAATGCTGTTAAATACCTGATGGTCTAATTTAAAAATATTAAAAAAAGTCCATTCCATTCCATTGAGGTATAAAGTCCTGTTGTGAAACTACAAAAAAACTCAACTAGATATATTGTATTTCTTGGCTCACAATTGCAATTATTTTCTTTAAACTCAGAGAGTTCTAAAAAAGTAATTTACAGCACATTACAATTATATTCAAAGGTCATTTATTTTCTCTTTATTTGGTCTTCGGCTCGAGTTTCTGAAACACGTCTGCCGAATAATATTAAAAAGATTTACTTACATATTTGAATTGAAAATATTCAATGGAAATGCTTAATAAATTAAGGAATAATAAAATTTTAATTATACAAAAGTATATGCAAAGGAAGTATATAATGGAGTGAACGCAATGTCTTTTTAAAAATAGAAAGAATATATATCTATTATACATGATTAGTGAGGTTGTCTGGAGGCATAACTACGTTATTAATGTTCATTCCGCTCCTCCCGTTTTTATACAACTCCAGGCTATTAAAAACATACCAACACAACATTATCTCATACTTTTTGTTGTTGTTGTACTCTAAGTAAAGGAACAAATATATCTAGTTGCGGAATTGAGTTACCCTTAAGTTATTTGGTTATCGCAGCTCCCTATCTCTGAGTGTATGGCAACACATACATACATAAGTACTTATGTAGATCCTCGTGGATATCTACGATACATTTCTACGCATTATTGGCCACATTTATGTTGCTTGCCAGTTTGATGCTTATGCACACAAATCAGCAGCCGCAACACCATTCGAATGGTGAGTAGTGGGAGTAGCTTGCTAAAAAGGAGAAAGAGGGGGCTGGGTGGGGTGGTCTCGGAATGGCATCGTCAAAATAGATATTTTTTATTATGCAATTGCTGTGTTTTGCCCGTGGGAGGTGGGCGAGTGGTGCTGGCTGGCTGGTTGGTTGCCTAGCTGGCTGGCTGGCTGGCTGGCTGGCTGGCGGCGCTTGGCTGTCAATCAATTTGCATATCGATGACCTAAACATAAAACTCTAGCCGCAGCGGCCGCGGCAGAGCCAAAGCTAACGGGAAATGTTCGCTGCTGTTGCTGCTGGTAGTGGGTTTTGTGTGCATTGCGTTTTCAATAAATAAATTTAATAACTGTAAAACTGCTAGCGGCAATCGCTGGCAATAAAGTTGATGGTGTTGCCGTTGTTCTGCTTGTGCTTCTGCTGCCACTGCCACTGCCTTTGGTTCTGTTACTGCCTCAGCTACTGCTAATGCTCTCCTTTTTTTTCTATTGCCGTGGCATAAAAAATGAAATTAATATAACTAAAAGGTTTTCTGCATGCTGGCTCCCAAAGTGTTGCCGTTGCGTGGCGCTTGCAAAGTTTTCAGTTCCTGCGAAAATTCATTGCATACTTTTGTGAGTCCAGCAGCAGCAGCAGCAGTAAATTAATTAATTAATTAATAGCGCCATTTTGTTTTGTGTGTGGCCATTGTTGTTGTTGCTTTTGCCTCAACGTTTTCTAATTACATTTTGGCGCTTAAAGCATTTTGCATTGTTAGCCAACCCACACACACACACGCACACCACACACATGCATGTGTGTGCCACACACATGCATGTGCAGGAACTAAACAAATTTTGAGAGTCAATTGTTCAACACTCAGGCTACAACAACAACACCAAAATAACCAGACTAAATCATGTTTGGATAAACGTGTGCATATGTGTGAGTGTGTGTGTGCGCGTGTATGCGTGCGCATTGCCACTTCATTAGACGTAAAATAGTTGTAGACATGCATGCGCACACACATACACACGCACACGCACATACCCTCAGACGTACAGCCTGGCCTCAATGCACAACCGACGCCAATGACGGCCGGCGCACGAATGTCGTCATTCGCTTAGCTGCTATGGCCTTTTATGCCCTCAGCTCGTATAAGAGACCAGAGACAGAGAGAGAGAGCGAGAGGTAGGGAGAGTCGTCGTCAGAGTCAGAGACAGAGACCGGCATGAAATACTGGGAATTTAGGCAGAGCGCGTAAATAAATATGGAAATTGTTGCTGCTTTGAATTGGCACTTAGTTTTATTTTAAAACATTCTAAGAAAACTGTTTTTCTTTTTTTTTTTCAAGAGTTTTATAATAAATTCATTTTTATATCTGGCTAAAAAAATGAATTTTTCAAGAGTTTGGCTGCAGGAGTTGCGTTGCTTGAGTCTGGCTTCTTCACATATGCATTTAATTTTCATTTCATTTGATTTATTCACAAAAATTGGCTCATTGAAGTAATTGGTGAGTATCTTTAATTAGTTATTAATAAAGAGAGTTTATAACTTAATTATATAGAAAGTGTGTTTTTATAGTACAGTTTATGAGTGAACGGTCAGTTTTTAATACTTGTATGTAACAAAAGCGGGGGAACAATTTTATTAAAAACCCATGATATGTATTTAATTTGAGTAAATTATATGAGTTGAAATATATTTTTTGATTTTCGGAGACAGCTCAGAAGTTGTTTAAATCATTCTGTATTTAGAGACCTGGATGCCCAGGCGTGGATTGCCTGCGAACGTCTTCAGTGATATTGCAACTTATGTTACTGAAGCATGCAACCAGCCAAATGATCTTCGACTCTTATTCTTCAAGGCAGAAAATTAAAATTAAAATTGATTGGATAATGAATGCATAAATCTTCATTTCATTCCCACCAGAGCACCGCACTTTGGAGTCCTTTGGAGGCGGCCGTTAAAAGCAATAAAGTCTCTGGAATTGCAGTTTGACTCTGCACCTTTGAAGAGCTTACCACCATCACAGCGGATGTGGAGGCTATTTTAATTACTTAACAAATGGTGAGTCTCATTTGTTTAATAGTTTGAATTCGTGTAGGATTTGAGATCAAACCACTCATTATTTGTAACCGATTACCAATGTTTTCATTTGGAGAAGTTACATAATTTGAAGAAACTATTTAATGTTTACATACTTTAAAGAAAAAGAAACAAATCTGGTATATTACAAGCAAAACAAAATGTTCCCTTTCGGTTCAGTCCATGTTTAAAATGTCCAATTTAATGAATCCATGTGATTACTATAACATTTTTGTAGAGGAAAATCTTAAAAAGACTTCGAAATATCCGTTAATAACCCTAAAACTACATGTTTATGTTAAGAGGATGGAATTTATTCAATATTTAATAGTGCCTTGCTAACGATCCACTGCTTCATGGCGCCATTTTTGAAGGTAGTTGAAAAGCACGTCGTACTTAGGTCTCAGAATAAAGCATTGTTTTTGTTTCTAATTATTTATAATAAATGTTTGGTGAATCCTTGAATAGTTCTATAGTGTTTATAATGTTCTACGTTTATTTTTATTATCAAGACGGTATAGAAAGAGATTTAAAACAATAGTTACCATATAACTATACAATTTTTTTTGGTCTTTCAATTAAATTAATGAGATTTCTAATTAATTAAAGTAAATAAACATTTCTTAGCTATATTATTATAGTTAGTAAGTAAGTAAGAAAGTTTAATGTACTAACAATATAGCATAATAATATAGTAAGTAAGAAGGTTTTTTAAATAAAAGGGCGAATGCATAATTTTTAAAGCTGGTTTTGGATTCAGTGAGTGGCTTTAGTTATCGCTTCCAAATACTTAAAATAAATTTATGTAAACAAATTTCTATATAATAAGGGTTTTTACATATAAGCTTATTTTAAAAAGTGTTAAATTTGTACGAAAAAGTGTTGGGGTAATTAATTTATGGGCATAAATGAAATGATTGAAATTATCAAGTAAGCCTTGTGTTTGCTTGAAAGTTCTTGACATTTTCAGAATCCTAACTGGCTTTGATGTGAAAATATATACATATATACATACCTCAGAAATTTACATGTTCAAAGAAATTCGAATGAACAAAGTTGAAGTTGAAAAAAATTGTTTTTAAAGCAAAATTACTATACGTAGTTGTTGTGCAGCAGCAACGGAATAAGTAAACAGGACACAAGAACTCGATCGTGAACCAGGTGTGTGTGTTCCGGCCTTTTATTATTTGTTGGTTTTTTATTTTTGTTACTTGTTAGAACCAGCTGCAGGACGAGGCACAAAATGGTGTTGTTCTTCCTTTTGTTGGCAATGGAAATTTTCAACATGCTCAAGTTTATCTTTCTTATACGTGATGTACGTGTTGTACACGGCCTTGGCAATGAGAATGACGTCGAAGGGGAAGCACCGGCCGGTGGTCGTGGCTTTTGGGAATCAGCGAGCCGGCCTGCGGACGGCGATGAGGAGCAGACAGACGAGGAATACCTTGATGGGATAAATCAACACCTTCTACATTTTATAGGCCTGCTGTTTTCGGCCAGGAGGCCTTTTTAACCGAACACTAACTGTTGTGGGAGTCCAGTACAAACGATTTGTGTGCCCACAACTGAGAAAAACACAAGACGCAGTAACTAGACGCATCAGCAGGTGAAATGGCTGTCAGTAATCATTTTATACTTCCAGATACAACTCAGTAGCATAGTCTTTGACAACAATTACGCAGCCTTCATTAAACTAATTAAATTAGCAGTTAAAAGCGCTTGAAAGACAAACTTTTAAAGATTGCACTGGACAGAGGACATTTAATAATGCACAGCTGGACGACAAACTAATTATTATTATCAACAATGAAAGCAGACTGCCTCTTATAGTTGTACTTACTTAAGACCATGTTCTAAAATAAATAAATGCATAATCAATTGCAAATGTTTTCTACGCAAAAAGCACATAACGTTTTAGCCAAGAAAATTTGATTACAAGTTGTTTGATTGTAAATGCTATATGATTCATTTATTAAGATTTAGTGATCATTATTTATTCATTTATTCATTCATTTATTTATAAGCAGCTCTTCAACACTGTCTCTTAAAACAAAAACTGTGTGTAAGGTTAAGGGATATTTTTAGTAATAATTTGTTGGCAATTTTTCAAAGTTTATGTAACAAAAAATGGGGACAAGCGCTTTCCTGATCCCCTCTCCTCGTTAGTAGCTTTGATATTCAGCTCGATCTTTGCCAAACTTTAAAGCAAGGACGCTCTGTAAATTACATTTAAATACATATTGTTGCTATCTGTTTGAATTGAGGAATCCTTTCAAAAATTGAACATTAATTGCTTTCTTTGAAACAATTAGAAAACGGCAATAGGTACTATTTAAGGAAATAGTTGTGTTTTAAAGTATAGTATAATTTATGTAATTAATTTGGCAAACCAGATGATATTGAAATACAATACAAGTATTTAATAAAACGCGCACTTCATTCGGCATCCAATTTTATATTTCCTCATCTTCAATTGGGTCCTTTATATTTGTTTTGGAATAAACTATGTTGTATGTACTATATAGTGTTTGAAATCTATAAATTAAATTGTGTTTCCATCGAACTGATAAAGCGAGCCCCTGATGCTTAGCCAACATTTAGTTTGGCCATGTTAACTAAAAATGCACTGAAATGTCTCGGAAGAGGGATAAATAAAATAGGCTTGATAACAAATACGGAAATAAAGGATATTCTTAGTGCAAACACAAATAAAAAATGAATAAATAAATAAATAAAATATTCATGTTAAAGCCTTAATTTATTTTTAATCGTATTTATGTCCAATATAGGCGTCAAAATTGTAGTATCGGGACTATTATGCATTGTCAGAAGTTTACAAAAAAAAAAAATTAATAACAACGGATACTGTTCGATAATTTGAGGAATTGAAGCAAACACTTTATGTTCCTTCTGGCTGTCCTCAGCTCATACCAAGAATTCTAGTTTCAGTTTCAGTTGCCCACCGTGTCGTCTCATAACAAACATAACATGCTCATAGATACACACACACACACATACACACACACACACCTACTCATATATGCCTCAAAGTTGCATGTGAAGAGCAGGTAAGCTTTGTTGCAATTTCTTCAATTTCGCTACCTAAGTTATGTATGTGGGTCTGGCGCATTATCTTTGTTGTTGTCCGGAGCACACACACACACACACACACATACACACAACTGCACATATAGCAGCTATACTATACATGTAATATATATGTATGCATTGGAACTGTTAGTGTGGCATGTCGTGCGCGTTTGTTAAGTTCATTAAGGCTGAATAATAACAACAGTAACTACATTTTAAAGGAGTCGTCAACGTCGACTTCGACTTGGTCGTCGTCGTCGTCGTCGTCGCCGTCGTTGTCTTCCTCATTGTCGTCCCCTGCTTAAGCTCTTCTATCCTTCTGAACATGCAACGCTTGTACGTGTGCTATAAAACAAGGTAGATGGGTTGTTGCTACTGCTGTCCTCGTCCTCGTCCTGCTCGTCCCGGCATTGTCATGTTAACTTGTCTTATTACAACTTATTTTACTTACTCGCTTGTTGAAGTTTTTTGTCAACAAAAGGCAGCAACAACCTGAGCAAAACAAACCAAAAAAAAAAAAAAAAAAACAGTAAAGGAGGGCAAAGGCTTTTGTCTTTAGCCACAAACAGAGCCAGAGCCAGAACCAGAATCAGAGCCACAGAAAGCAGCCACAGTCAGAGTTCAAGCAAAATTCGGCTGCTGGTCGCTTGTTAAAGCTTTCCTGCATTTACATTGAACAACTCTTTTGTGGGTACAATATTTTTTGGCTAATCCCAGAACGTGGGCCGCCGTACACATACATATGAGCATGTGTGTGTCTGTGTCTGTACTCCTTGTTTGTCTGCATGTGAGCCTTGGGCGCACAAGCATCTTACAGGCAGTCAGCTAGTCAGCCAGTCAGGCAACTAAGCAAATGTGTGGCAGCCCGAAGATGGGGAAAAACGAAAATAATCAAGTTTCCGACAAACATCAACATGACGCCAAGATAAAAAGCTTCAGGATGCGCGCGCTGCTTTCGACATCCACGTTCTTGTTGTTGTTGCTGCTTCTGTTGTTGCTGGTGTTGCTGGTGTTGGTGCCTATGTTTCCTCTTCTTCTTCTTCTTATTCTGCTGCACTGACACTGCAGACAAGATAAGACACATCAGCCGGCGGTGGTCCGGCGTTGCTTTAGCTATTTCTATTACTACTTACACACTCACACACACACACATAGGAAACATATCTGTACAGTGAAAACTATATGTCGTAGTTGGAGAAGTTGCGCAAAATTTAACTGAACGATCGAGCTCGCCAGTTGTTATACCCTGCATCAACAAATTAAAAGGACGTCAGCTTAGTCCGCATTTAAAAAAGGGGTGGCACAATCGAAATACTCGTAGTATATATCCTTGATCAGTAAAGCTAGATAAGTTGATATAGCTACGGATCTCAAGAAGCAGTATAATAGCGACAAATTCCCAATCTTGAATACACGTTCTTCTAAGTGTGAAAAGGCAAAGTATTTTTCGTTTATAAAGATATTTTTAAAGTGCATAATTTTTGGATTCTTGGCAAATATGTTTATTGAAAGAGGCTAGTGCGTAAAAAATGCCTATATGTATATTTTTCTTCGATTTATATTTTATTATTTTAATTTAGGAAAATGTATTAACTCTACTGTTTCTGGCTATACTTATCAGACTATACTTGTAATCGTAATTGCTTCTGAGGTAAGAGCTAATAATGTCCAGTTTGTAGGTCGGATAACTCTTTTTTGTTCGCCTAATCTCATCTCTGAAAGCATGTCTAGCCTTTTTGATGCCAGTAGATCCATTTATATCGCAACATACTATGTTTATAAATGAATTGAATTCAGCTGATCATGCTTGGGGTGTTCCCATTAGCCACAATAATCATATAAGCAATGTTTAAATAAAAAATACAATTGAACTTTTTAAATTGAACTTTCTTAAGCTTCATTCATATAAGCAATGTTTAAGTAAAAAGTACTCCAGATGAAGTGGGTACATTTTTAATTCTACAATTATGGTTAAAAAAGGACAATAAAAGTCAACATCGACATGTTTATGCGTGACAGTTGTGGGAGAACAGGAAAGAAAGAACCAATACGACTAGACTGAGGCAGACGGAAAGTTTATTCAACGCACTGATATAAGATAATATTTCTTACATAGTATTTCTTAGCAATATATTTTATTTGTAGAGTATAGCAAATAATAAGCAATAAATTTAAATAACTAGTTTTTTTTTTTTAATTTTAATAAATCAACAAAGATGATTTATTTTTTATTTTTTTATTTATTTACTTAATGCTAGCTTAAAGTTAGAAACTTACAGCTAACAGGGTTTGAATAGCTATGACTACTACGATCTTAAGCTATTACAATCAATGAAAGTGTATGCACAAGTAATTAAAAAAGAAACAGGATACATACAAGGTGTGTTCCAAAGTAAACAGGACTTTTAAAAAAAACAGAACAAATGTTTTTTTTTTTGGCAAAATCAATTTATTTTATTCAAAATAGTCTCCTTCTGCTTCAATACAGCTTTTTGCACGATCCAAAAGCATGTCGAACGAGTGTATGGTCGCCAGTATGCCGGTGCAAGCCTTTTGAATGGCCTCTACGTCTGCATAATGCTTTCCTTTCATGGTCGAATGCATTCTTCTGAAAAGGTAGAAGTCGCGCGGTGCCATATCAGGTGAATACAGCGAGTGGTTAATGGTTAAAATGTGATTTTTGGTCAAAAAATCAGTCCTTCGAATGTTGGATTCTGAGCAATTTTTGGTCGTCAGTCAATTTGTGCTGAACAAACCGTGCACATCGATGTTTTGGAGACGTTCAATTCCATTTCCATCAACTTCATTGATGATTTCGGCTGATTTTTGATGAATTCACGCACAGTTTCGATGGAATTTTCGGTGATCACGAATTTTGATTGGCCCACATGTTGAACGTCAATTATGTCCTCACGACCACTTTGAAAACGTTGAAACCACTCGTGCACTCTGCTACGGGATAGGCAATCATCGCCGTAAACTTGTTTCATCAATTGAAACGTTTCGGTAAAAGCTTTACCAATTTTAAAACAAAATTTAATGTTGGCTCTTTGTTCGAAGCTCATTTTTGCAGCGATAACACAAACATGCTGACACTTAAAACGCAATAACTTCACTTCCAATCGATGAAATGTCATGAAATTCTCACTAGACAATCGATAAAGATAGCAGATCTTAACGCACCAGTCGACATATAGATAGCGCCACCAGGGGGCGCTAGATTCAACAAGTCCTGTTTACTTTCGAACACTCCTTGTATGTAGTTTTTTGAAGCATGAATTAAAGACATTAACTTAAACAGTATTTGTTATCTAGTATTAGTAAGTATAAGATGATTTATATTATAATATAGTATATTATAGTACAATAGAGATATATAACCATATATATTATGTTATAATTTTAACATAATAAATAAGAAATCCTCAAGAATAACTATACAATAATGTCTGTAACTGCCTTTGGATAGCTATGCCCCGATTCACAGCCATATGTGGTCAGAAAAATTAGAAACCTATCAAACTAAGAAAATAAGAGAGGGGAAAACTAAATTGTACTTAAGAGCTAATTAAATGAAGTGAGGAGCAGAAAAGGTAAGCTGCAAACAGTATATGCATAGTACAACTATTTAAAAAAAGACATTTTTTTTTTTAAAGCCACTATACAATTAATTCTTAAGCCGCGGAACTT